ATAACATGTTAAATTATACTAATTAAAGATGTGTGCTATATACGAGTTTATATATAGAGTTAGAGCACAGTAACAAAAAAATGGTTCAATTTGCTGAAGAAGTAGAAGTGAAAACAGTAAAAAGAGAACCAGAAGTAATTGAAGTTGAAATAGATGAAAGGAAAATGGACAGACTTTTACATTTACTACATGAAGCTGATCCTCAGTGCGATAATTCAGATCCACAAGAAATGCTTGATCTGGAAGGTAACATATTCATATTTTATAATATTTTATTTTATACTACAATGTACAATAAACATACAAGGAATTATTAATTTCCAATAATAATATTTTACAGAACAAGTTACTGCAATGGGACCTTTAATAGATGCAGCTCTAGAGAAAGTGGATAGAAGGCATGCGCAGCTAACTCAGTTGAGCTCTGATTTGGTGGATGCTCTTAATTTGTATCATACATTGATGCGGGAACCTCCACCTCCTACACCTTCAAATTATACCTTACCTAAAATGCCACCACATATAAATCCTTATCAATTTCAAAGTCAGGGACCACCTCCTCCGCATGTAAGAATTTATACACGTTTGAATTTCTTTATAATATCCAGAGTGCAGCCCGCAATTGAAACCACTTTAATAATTTTTTAAAGAATGATTTTCGCGGAAATTAGTTCAAATGAATGTCACATTGTTCAAAGGGACCAACATATTGTACTATTCAATTCTGGTGCTGTAGATATGCAAGCGTTTATCTTACCTCGTAGACTAACAAACAAGAGACTGTCGTCGTGTGATTGATCTATTTGATTGATCAGAGTGTGTTTATTGGTTAAATTTCTATAAAAATTGTTCAAAAAATCACATTATTTGACATAATTACATTTGTTTCAATATTGTTTAAAACTTTCGTTATAAAAAGAGTTTGGTGCATTATGTGATTCTTTAAACCATATAATATACAGAGTATCTAGTGAGGTTTTCAACAAACTTCATCCACACGATTAGTAAGTCATTCTGACCAAAAAATGTCACATACACTGTAGGTCAGTTTCATAGGAAACGAATTAGACCTCTAGTGTATGTGACCGTTTATTTGAATTAATACTCGCGAAAATAATTACTTACAAAGTTATCGTAGTTTTAGTGATGTGCTGCATTCTGTTTAGTATTTTCTATTAAGACAGAAAATTTTCATTTTTTGATAGATATACAATGGAGTACCTCCCCCTCATCAAGCTTCTTTCTCTGTTGGAAGTGGTCCATCTGGACCATATAATACTAATATTCCAACTAATGATATGGGGCCTGTGAGTATGCCAAACATAACATTACCGCAACATTTTCACGTGCAACCACCAGGTCCGCATCAACATCCTCCAGGACATTCTCAAGGTCCACCAGTGCCAGAACAAAGCAATCTCCCTTACTCTCATCAAGGGTACGTGTTAATATGAACATAGTGTAGCATGTTAGAAAACTTGCTCTAAATTACATTTATTTATATATGAATCATTGCGATTTAAATTCAATTCTCTAAATTATTTTTTATTGGAATACATTTTGTGATAAAATAAAAAAGTATTTAAAAATAGAATTAAACATTTTACATTACATACGTAAAACATACATTATTTAAAAGACAGTAAGGTAAAATATGATAATAAACAGTTGATAAAAAAATTTTGATGATATGTGACAGATATCCACCACAAACAGGTCCTATGCCAGGACCATATGGTCCGCCGAGACCAACAGGACCTCCAGTAAATCAACAACCTCAGTATGCTCCGTCAAATGGACAACACATGATGTAAAAGGATGCTATATGTTTCAAATTCATCCTGTACTGTAACTCCAGCTATACAATATTACTATATTATAATTATTTAAATAAACATACCCGAAGTAGCCAAAGATACTGGGTTTTTGATGGAAGTTTTGCATTCGAAACTTATCGTGTAAGCTTATTACGTAGGCACATACACGACGAAGTAATTCAAAATGCATTAGGTGAAAAGATTTTGCAATTTACTGTATTAACGCCTGCCTATCGTTAATATAGTATGAGTTTTTTAAAAAGTGTCTGTTAATCTCATGATTCAAGTTCAATTAACACATTCCTTTGACCTGATTAGTATCCAACTACTTTATTTGGCGTTTCAATTGTATATTAGTTCGAATGTTATAAAATGTTAAAATGAAAATAATACGTAAAAGAAGATAGTGAAATATAGGGCCATCGATTCATAGATATCGATAGACAATTTTTAACTTTGCGTCGAAAATGTACCGCGTATAACTTATTTATGATATGTTGTATAAATTTTGTTGTACGTTTATAATAAGTTCTAAAAAAAACTGCACCGTCGTTTAAAATATAATTATGATAGTACACGAAATTGTACATGACAAATGGTGGAGACTGTATTGAAAGCACGACCGTATTTTATAGTTTTTTACTGTCATTCATTCTTAACAAATAATAACTGTAAAAGAGCCTTGAAATACGATTGTTACAACAAGAAAATCCTTTCTTAAATAAAAAAAGAGGAAAATAAATAACCATGTAGCTTTAAAAAAGCTACTCGAGTTAAATATTGTCGAAGTATAAATCGAAGCAATTATCGCAGAATGTGTCAACTTGGTCTAGTCTGTCCATTGTGTATAATAAAACTACTTCCTATTAATTGCTTATCGAACAATCTGCGAGGAGCTTTTTATGAATTGTTAATGCATAATAGTCGCATAGTTGCGTTCATATTGTCGTAAAGGCGACCCTGTCTGTTAAGAAAAAAAAAAGGACAAAAAACAAAGAATAATACAAGAAAAAATTGAAGATGACTGTATTCTTTTAAAATTATATTAAAATAAGATTTAAAGATTTCAAATTACAATAATACGATTTTCAAGAAATTCCTTATTAGGCCTTTATTTTTAAGCTATTTATAAGTGAAGTTTATATTTCAACGTTAGAAAATGATATTAGCGATATTTATAGAACAAGACAAAGTTTTAGTAGTGAAAGTCAATAAATTACTGTCATAATGCCATTCAAGTTTTATTGAAGTACAAATGTGAGGGTCTATTAAGGAAAATGAAGAAAATAAGCTAACAACTTATCAAAGTTACTGTGTGTACATGAAACTTATTGTAGAAGGAATACTTTGTACGAATCATTGGCAAATAATAGTACTAGATCCAGGTGTTAAATTAATAGAAATCTAGTTTGAGACAATTAATTTGATATTTATTAAGGTTATATTTTTATATACATTAAAGTGAGCATAATTTTGCATTTGAAATTTGTATATTAACAGGTTCACAGTCCGAGGCGAAAATGCACTCTCCACTCACACGTCCAAGAAAGCGTCTCGCGTATCTGAGAGATGTAAACATACTCTTCCATCTCACGTTCAAAAAAACGATAAGCATGTTCTACAAACAAATTGCGTTCTTTATTCCCAGCTCTTTGTTAATATTTCATTAACACATTTTCTGACAGAAATTTAAGAAACAACTAGTGCATAAGATATGAGGAAATGTTGTGCAGGATGCTATACATATGTACCTTCGAAACAGCGGAATTGATTGGGAACTTGCAGCTAAAACGGCAAAAGAAATAAGTACTAAATGTGCGCAATAAATCCTTTTGCATGGATTACTGTAAAACACAATTTAAAAAAATTTTTAAGAGTGTTGTGTTTTAAAGCAATTCATGCAAAATAGTTTTATTTTTCACATTACGTTCGGTATTTATTTTTTGCCTTTTTAAATACATTAATACTTGAATAACATTTTAAGGTATTGTGCTTCTTATAATGCCATTAAAGTGTTAATATGTTCTTTGTTATTTTTTTATTATATTTTATTTACTTAATTATAATGTTTAATTGAATTATTCCTTACATGTAAGTAACACCCATAATTTAATTATCTATATAAAATACCTTCTACATCAGAAATATGACTTCTAATTCTGGTCTCTCCTGACACATATGTGAATCAGGGGAGGTGTGAGTTGGGAGTACACTGACCCATTTATGGGTCAAGGAACTGTGAACATGTTAATTATATTTATTTGATTCAAAATAATTTATATTTCTCACGAATCAGCAAAATAACTAACAAAGAACAACATTTAAGTGACATTTGCTGATTTTAATTAAATTTTTATATAATACTTTTCTTTAAATAATATTTGATATGTATTTTTCTGTCCATATTTAAGGTGAAAGTGACCCTTAAAATTGAAGATCATAGATATACTTCTCTCAATACCTCAAAAATTATTGAATATAGGAAAATTGGTCAAAAATTAAATATTTTTTGAGAGAGAGTAATTTCAACTACATAAACAGTTTTCAAAAATATATA